GCCACGCCCACCCACAGGGCCCCCCGCCAGATGTTCCCCTTGGAGAACCTCGCTGAGCAGCTCTGAGCACCACAGACACCTGCTGACCCCGATTACTGGGCCCCTCCTGCCAAGGTCAGCAGGCAGTGGCTCCTCACTCCCCCAGATGTGGGTGACCCCACACCACCCAGGAGCGGCTGGAATCTGAGCCCTTGGTTCCCTGAGGCGGGTGGAGTGGGAGGCTCCAGGTCCAGGCCCCCTCAGGCCTCCCTGCAAAGGAGGTAGAGACGGTGGGGGGTGGGGGGTCCCCGCCCACCTGCCTGCTCTGGGCTGAAAGGAGGGGCTGGCGTGGCACCTGCTGGCAGAAGACAGTCGTCCTGGCCAGCTATGTCCTGCCCCCTGTCCCTGGGGTGTGGACAGGACAGGCTGCTAGAGGAATAACCCCTTAGTGAGCTGTGGCCACCCACCGGCATCATGAGGATGCACGCCCCTACCCATCTGTGCCTGCCACCCCTCCTCCTACCCTGCCACCTCTTCCTCAGGGCAATGGGGGTAACCCTCCACAGGGCTCCAGGCCAGCCCTTTGAGGTCCTCCTGCTTCATAAGCTCTTCCCTCCAGGCCCAGCCCCTGGCATGATACCTGCACTGAGTAGGCCCTGGCTCTCTGACTTCCCGTCTGAAGTCGAGGCTCTCCCCAGAGTGCAGGTCTTGGCATGGCTCCCTGGGACCCCTGAACTCCAGCCAGACTTCCTCTGGCCCCATTCCCACCCTTTCCTCTGGGCCAAACCTCTGCTCCTCCATGCTCTGCAGTTACACCAGTGGCCTCCATGGGAGACAGGGCCTCCACAGGAGAGGGGGCAGGAGAGAGTGCAGCATGAGGAGGCCAGGCCCCTGCTTCACTCCACAGGGAACCAGCACCCAAGCCCATGCCGCCGCCCCATCTGCAAAACCCGGCTCTCACCAGCCTCGCGCCTCGCCCTTGGTGCCCTGGGATGGCAAGTGCCAATCTTTACTTTGGCACCCCTCGCCCCAGCTGTATCTGCCTCTGGGACAAGGAGCAGATGGGCCTCAACTCTGAAACCCCTCAGTGACTGCAGGCCTGCGTCAGGCAGGTGGCACTGTGAACTTCACTCTGTCCTTCTGAGAACTGGGAGAAGAGCCCTCCTCATAGCGCTGTTGGAAGGAGGAGCCCCTCAGCACGGTGCTGGCCCTGGGTTGCCCCCGTGGAAGAGTGAGGCGTGCACACAGCCTCAGTGCAGGAGGCAAGGGTCTGTTCTGGAGAGCGAATCTCAGCCGTCCTGGGATCCTGGGCTGGGCACTCAGGAGAGGCCACAGAATCCCAGAGGAGCACGGCCTGTCGGGCAGTGCTGCCCTCCCTCCAGCCCTGCCAGCATCCTGATCCCAGTGCATGTCTCCCACTCTCTGTGTCCCTGCCTTGTTGCAGGCCCTGGGGCTCAGCCCCGTATGCCCCAGTGCCTGCCTGGGGGGGTGGTCTGTCTGCCCTATGGTGGGGTCAGGCATGCCTGCTCTCAAGCACATAACTTAAAGGCCACAGCTTGAGGCTGGAAGGGATCAGAATAGGAGATACGATGACCGGGGCTCATGCCCAGCCAGGTAGCCCAAGGGGGCGGGCCGGAGCTCACCTCAGACCACGGGCTGGTGTACCACTTGAAACAGGGCCTCTCGAAGCACGTGCTCTCCTCGGGGGGCTTCTTGGCCAGCCCGCACTCGGAGCCACTGCGCGTCTGCGGCTTCCCGTTGGCCAGCTCCATGCAGAGGACCAGTCGCTTCTTCACGCCACGCCCACAAGTGGTGTTACACTGCAGCCGGGGCAGAGGGGCAGTCAGGGGCCAGAGACCAGGAGGACCAGGACCTGGGGCCACGCGGCACAGGGGCCACGGTCTGGGGTGAGAGGCTGCGATCAGAGGCAGGTTAACTGAGAACTCAGCTCGTAACCATTTGGCCCCAACTGGGTTTGATCAAAAGCATTTAGCACAAACTGTCTGTCTGAAACAAATCGGTTAATGACAATGTGGACAGTGATGGCTCTGCGAGAGTCAGCTAAGCAGAAAACTTGGCCAAGGTTACTTGGTTAACAGTGACCACAGTCAGGTGACAGCAAAGCGTCTGGAGCAGCCGGTTGGCCACTATGAAGACAGCCAGTGTGGCTGGCACGCCCTGCCCCGGGCCTCCGTGCGCCAGGAGCGCGGGGCTGGGTGAGGCCAGCGTCCGCTCTACACACTCAGAGCAGTGCCTACTTAGGCATGGGAGGTTGCAGGGCTCCTACCTCCGGGCTTTTTGCATCTCAAAGTAACTGTCAGTGAATCGCGCCTTCGTCTTTCGCAATTAACTCCACGTTCTGACCGATCTGTTCCAGCCGCTTGGCACGCAGGCAAATTCTCTCCAGCCAAACACTTTCCAGACAGGGAGGCACTCACCCGCTCCCAGTCCTGGGCCAGCCAGTGGGCGGGGCAGCTCCTGTCCCCGCAGGGGTGGATGGCCAGGGGCCTGGTCTCGGGCTGGCACTGGGACTCGGGCACCACCCGCCCCTCGCTGGTCTTGCAGTACACGTGCCTGATGGTGCGGCCCTGCCCACAGCTTCCGCTGCACTGTGGGGTGGACACAGGGGGGCGCCAGGCTTAGGGATGGGGCCGGCTCCAGGAGGGCCCCGGCAGCATCCCGGGGGAAATAGTTCCCCAGGCAGCGCAAGTGGTTGCCGTGGTTACCACTTTCTAAATAACATTTCTGTTCTAATTACGGAAATAACACGTGGTTGGTAAAAACACACAGAGAGGAGCACACCTAAAAAGGACATCTGTGCACCCAGCACCCAAAGGTGACTCCAGTGTTCTCTGCGCATGTCTCCTCCAGATGAAAGACAGAGACACAGAGAGATCTACAGGGACAGGAAACGAGACGGAGTCAGGCAAAGACAGAGACAGAGATGGAGAGACACAGACGCGCAGGGACAGGAATAGAGTCAAGGAGAGACAGAGATAGGGAGACAGAGACACAGAGAAACAGAGGCGTGGAGAGACAGAAGTTATAAAAGCGAGTGTGACCAGGCCACCTGCTTTGGGATAGAGGTTTGATTCCTACAGTAACGGGCAGGGAGGCAGCGAGGCGTTCTTCCCGCTTGTCCTTACCCCGAGAGTGGGAAGCAGGCGTGTCAACAGGCTCTGACCGCCTCACTGGCTTCTTTCCCAGCCACCCCCTAGTCACTCCTGGGCGGAGCTCACCGGTCCCCAGTCGGAGACGGTCCACTGGCGGTCACAGGGGGGGCCCGTGCAGTTCTTCTCGCCCACAGGCCTGGTGCTGGGGTCACACAGCTTCTCATCCTCTGAGCAGCGGACGTCCCTGGTCACCACACTGCGCTCCCCACATTTGGCCGGGCACTGCGAGGAGGCAGGTGAGGGGGCCATGGAGACGTGGGCCCAGCGCCCTCCCACCAACTGGACCCCGCCCTCGCTCACCTCGGCCCACTCGGACATCTCCCACTGTGGGCCACAGGCCGGGTTCCGGCACGTCTTGCGCTCCTCGGGCCGCACGGCCTCGGCCGCCTCGCACAGGTCGCTGTACACGGAGCTGTCGAAGCCGGGCGACAGCATCTTCCAGCAGCGCACGATGCGGAACTGGTAGCCCTCGCCGCAGGTGCGCGAGCACTCGCTCCAGCTGCTCGTCTCCCACCTGCCTCGGGACGGGCCGCTTCAGAGACCCCACGCCTTGGGACCCAGGCAGTGCAGCTCCCTCTGCCTCCCCCGTGGGGTTGGAAACCACCATAGCTGAGCCAGACAGGAAGCTGCGGACTTGGCCCCGGGTCTCCTGGAAGCCCTCCAGGTGGTGCGCCCTGCCCGACCATGCCCCTGGCCTGCCTGCCCAGCACCTGCACGGCCTCCACCTGCACTGGTCTGCAGACTGCACCTGCTCCTCGGCTTCTCTTCCATGCCCTCCCCACCTGCCGCCCCGTAAGATGCCCCTGTGCCCCAGAGCCCCAAGGCCCCTCACACCCGGCTGTGTCACACAAGTGCTGCAGCCCCCATGGGACTCTGGCCTTATGAGCTATGGTGGAAATGACAGGGGACATGTTTCTGGATCCATGTTCGGGGTGGGGGGACAGGCCTCTCACTCTACTCAGCCTGAGCCACGGAGAGACCCAAGTCCTCCTGGAGGGCAGGTTTGGGAAAGGGAGCAGAGCCCGTGGGGTCCCCAGGGAAGGGCAGGCCAGCTCTGCAGAGACCACCGTCTCGGCCTCTCCCAGAAAGCAGACGAGAGGGAGCATGGCTGTGCTCGGAGGGCCCGGGCCCTGCCCCTGTCCCTGACCCGAGACAGCTCAGGAGGCCTGAGGGCTAGAGAGGTGGGCCCCTCCCGCCTGCCTGCAATGGCCAGGCAGGCAACTTCAGGGGTGGCCCTCTTTGCTGATGTAAATCCTAGATTGCCAGATGGGCCTGGGGAGCAGAGACGGCAGCACGGTCAGAGTGACAGCTAAGTCCCCCCCAGAGCGTTTACTGGCACCTGCACGTGCAGGACCCTGACAGCCAGGGCTCAGACACAAGTCGCTAAGCCCTGCTACTCCTCGGAGCCCCAGCACCCACCGGCGCTCGGTGGCAGGTACCTGGGCTGGCACTCCCTCCCGGCACAGAACTCGTGGACTGGCTCCGGGCGGGTCAGGGCGTCACAGAAGCTGTCATCCACCTCGACGCCGTCATAGCGAACACACATAGCATACGTCGACATGACCCCTAGGCCCAGGACAGGGGGCAACTGTGAGCAGCGTGGAGGCCTGGGAGGCCAGCAGTGGGCCTCATGACTGCAGGCAAGTCACTCCAAGTCACCCCGACCCCCAGACCCCCGCTTCCTGGTTAGGAGGTCGGGGAGGCCTCATGGGGACCGTTCTGTGGCTCTGGGCCTTTGCCTGCCTGCACCTAGGCCCCAGCCTTTCCTCCTTGCATGCTCAAGCCCGCCCCACCAGCCCAGGCTGGCACCAGCTTGCAGGACACAAGCCTGGGCTTCGAATAAATACAGCGGCCCCACAGAAGCACAGATAGAGCAGGTATCAGGACTCGCACCACCACATATGGGCGAAAGCGGTTGAGTGTCACCCTAACCAACCGCTCCTCAGAGGTCAGGTGGGATTCCGGGCTCTCTCTGTGTACTCAGCCCTAGGGAGTGTCCTGTGCACATTCTTCAACCACACTCAGGCACGTTCCCTTCCTCGGTGCCCCAGCTCCGTCAGTCTCCTGGAAACACGTGCGGGGGCAGCCTCACTGATGGTGGGGCTTGCTCGACTGCACTTCCATCTCATGGCTGTTGTGCCCTGCCCTGCCCTGGCACCACGCTGGCCTAGGCAAACTCCCAAACAGAGCCAGGGCATTGGTGAGGGCTCCAGGCAGGGCTGGTGTGTGTATGTGTGAGACAGACAGACAGACCCAGCCTCTCCAGATGACGGACGTCATGGTCCTTCCTTGCCAGGGCTGCCAAGAGGAAATCAATTTCCTTGTCGGGGGAGCCCCGGCCGCCTCGCTCTCCCTTCCCGGTGGCGTGATCTGAAAGCCAGCTGCTCCGGACTCTCCAAGCCCCAGTCCTGGATGGAGCGAAGTAGCTGGGAAGAACCTGGCAGGGTCTTCCTTTTCCTTCCCAGATGAGCCAGGCCGCACGCTCCTCTCTCGCCAGTGTGGGGCTGCATAGTCTTCGGCCTTCTCTGAGGGGGGCCGGCTTCCTGGCCAGGCCCACTTGGAATGTCCCAGGCTCCAGGACACCAGCTCTGGGGCCCAGGGGCATGGGGTTGGAGATTGGCAGACCCTGGCGCAGGGCCTGATTTGACTGTAACTCGAACCACACTCACTGTCCTCCTGGCCGGGTGACGGGACACTCCTGACTCCTCGGGCCTCAGCTTGCTTGTGCCCAACGTGGGGACCCTCCAGAGAGCTGTGAGAATTGAGATGCCAATTTCTGGGCCCCCTTTCATGCCAGTCTGGAAAATGGCACTTCTCAAACCCCTTTGCTGGGAACAAAAGTAAGCAGGGAGCCCCCCACGGGTGAGGCACAGGCCGGCTTGTGAGGGCAGGGGTGAGACCAGGGTCCTTGCTCCATGCTACTCCCCTATGCCCAAGGGGCTAGGACTGGCTCGAAACCAGAGCCTGAGGCCAGACCCCAGCTCACCTGCGGTATCACCACTGCTCCGAGGAGCTAGTCAGAGGTGAGAGGCCACGTCCTGAGGTTGGGTTGCTGAGGGGCTCTGCCCACTGGCCCAGCAGCCCTTCCCACGGGCTCCTGGCGGCCCAGTCGGGAGCAGATCCCGCCCAGGGCCAATGACCCTGCGTTGGGCGTCCACACAGACGCAAGTCGTACAGGTTTCAAACCCCACGGCTGCTGTGGCCACCTGGCCTCAGCACCCTGAAAATGGCCTTTGCAGGGTGGCTGCAGCTATGGCGTTGGGTTCAAGCACCAAGAGTATGCAGGAGTCAGGTTGTACTGGGAGGGTCAGAGGCAGGCGGCCCTGAGGCAGCGAGTACATCCACAGACAACCCCACTGATGCGAGGCTGCCGCGGCGAGCTGCCCAGAGCAGGGCCCCAGACAGCCACGTGACCACGCAGCCCATGCCCCACGGGGCTGGCCTGAGGGGCGCTGAGCACCGGGGCATCAGGGGAGCCCACTTCACCAGAGCACCCTGCAGCTAGGCTGAAGGCCTCGGCCTGGCCTGGGACTCCTCACATGCTGGGGTCATGGTGCCGTCTGAAGCATCTCCACCTCCTCTTGGACACGTCTCCACGGGAGGTGACACCATCTAGTCTCTAGGGAGAGGCAACCTCAGAGGCAAGGGGCCTGATGGGTGGCTCTGGGTGACAGATGTCCCAAGGAAGACGCAGCACTGTTTCTCAACACCCAGAGGGTGGCCAGGCAGGGTGGTGGGCTGGGGCTGTCCGTGTGGTCCACGGTGCCAAATCAGACAGCGCTGAATAGATTTAGAAAGAGGGCTTCTGGCCCTGGTGACGGGCAGCCCTTTGCTTTAGGCGACGGTGCTCAGGAGTAGGACGGGCCAGAGTGCCTTGTCATTGCAGGGGTCCTGAGCAGGGTCCTGTCAACACTGGGCATCAATGGCAGGGGCAGTCAAGGTCATCGCGGCGGTGCCCAGTGGCGGAGCGTCGACTGTGGCTGATTCTGTTTCACGCCAGCTCCCATGGCCACCTTTGAGATAATGTCCCACAGGGGGAAGTCGAGGCTCTGAGGTCGAACGCTCTTCAGGAGGGCCAGCTTAACCGCCAGACAGTGCAGTTCGGCTGCTCATCACACCCTCCAGGATGCCAGGCCGGGGGGCAAACTCCGCATGTCCAGCACCCTGTGTCCTGCTCGGGGACTCTTGTAACTGGACAGGGACTTCTTAGCCCAAGAGAGGCGGGTCCAGCTGAGCAGAGCGTGAAGGCGTGCAGCTCACGCAGAGCCCACAGGGCCACCTTCCCTGGTTCCCGCTCTGCTGAGTGGCCAGCCGGGGCTGCAGCGAGCACAGACAGTCAGACTGCCCACTGCTTGGCACCCTCCCTGGCCAGAGGTGCAGGGGTTTCTGAAGCACCAGCCAGCTGCCAGGGCAGCCCCATGGTTGACTCCAGGCTCTCCCTCCACCTTAGCCCTGTCATGCCCCTGCGTCCTGGGCCTGGATTTCACATCTGCTGCGCCCCGGGGAGGGAGCGGGGAGAGAGCGAAGCAGGCAGCGAGTGTGGCTCCTGCCTGTGGCCATGGCCGTGTCTCAGTGTTGGGTGGCTGGCTGTGGGGCCAGGGGGGTCTGCCTGCCAGGGACCCTGGAGGACTCCTGCCCTCCTTCCTTCCCTCCTTCCTTCCCTTCTGATGACCAGGGACGCCCCTCACAGGGGCTACCTCTCCCTCCTGCACCGCTGTAAACGCAAGTGACATCCTCACCCCTTTGAGCAGCAGGGCAGCCCCCTCACAAGGTCTGTGAGTACCTGGGGCGTCCAGGTGACCTGGGGCCTGGGCCTGGCCGGGGTCCGGCGCTTTGTGGGGACAGGTGCCTTTGTCCAATCCCCCAGTTCCAGCCCCACCACACCACCTCCCCAGGCCAGTAAAGGGCTCAAAGCTCCGCCCCGCAAATGCCTGGAGATGGGTCTGTGGCCAGTACCAGTACCTGTGGTGCAGGTGGCACTGCAGGGCTCGTGGGACGAGAGCTTCCACCGGTACATGTCAGCTGGACTCACGCCCTGCTTGCGCGCCTTGGGCCTGGGCCTGGGAACGAGGTCACAGAGGAGGCGATGAGAACGCGGTGCTTGCCAACGGGCTTCGGTGCCCGGTGTTTTCTGGAGGGAGTGTGCTTACCAGCCCACACCTGCCCTGAGCCTGCAGAAGCCCCACCTGCCAGGTCATGCTCCCACTGCCTGGAACCAAGCGCAGGCAGCACCGCAGGGAGGCACACCGGGGAGCCCACAGACGCCCACATCCCCACCGGTCACTCAGCCTGCAGCTCCTGCCCCGAGGTGTTGAGAACCGGGGCTGGCATCTGGTGGCGCTGTCCCTGCCCTTCCCCACACACACCCCCCGTGCACATGCAGGCTTCTCCAGTTGTCGGCTCACCTGCCTGGGGGCTCCTTCCTCCCACCCGGGAAGGGAGCCGAGGCAACCCATAGGCTCAGAATGTTCCAGAACTCTCTCTGAGCACCTCCCTCAGCTGGGATACTGACTGAATGGGGACACTGGCTATTCAGCCTTCGATGTGCAGATAAAAGAGTTCAGCTGCAGATGGGGGTGGGCCACAGCCATGCTGCACTGCGGCCTGCGACAGCCCCACAGAGCCGCTGGAGGAGAAAGGCATTCCCAGGCCTCGCCAGCCGCCAGCCGGGATTCTTGGCTGGCCCCCGGGGGGCCCCAGCCGGGATTCTTGGCTGGCCCACGGGAGGCCACCGCCAACCATTGTTAGGACTGTTGGCTCCCCCAACCAGCTGTGTGCCTGGGCCCAACCTCTACCTCCGATGTGCGGGGTCATCTGGTGGTGGGGTGGGGGTCAGCAGTAGAGCTGCACCCCAGAGCTGGGGGAGGGTTGGGGGCAAGCTGGTCCAGCCAACAGCAGGCCTTCGGGCCTCGGCTTCTCCTAGGGACTCCGGAGACTGCCTGGCCCAACTCCTCCTTCCTTTGGGCCTGAAGGGACTGGCCAAGGACGGCCTTAAGCTAATGCCCTTCATGGGGCTTGTGGGACAATCCCGGGCCCCGTCCCAGCCACCATGCCTCTGTGGTCAGGTGCATGCCATGAGGCGGAACGCCTGCCAGGCTTCCCTGTCACCTCTGTGACAGATGCAGGTTTGGGGTGGACCGGATGGTCTCTGCACATCGCAGAGTGGCTATGTTCCCCAGGAGGTCCCCACTCCAGGCAGTGCCTTGGGGTGAACGAGGCCTTGCTTAGGGGGCCTCAGGCCATGCAGTTCCTGACGTGGCACCGTAAGCTCAGGGAGGGAGGCAAGGAGCGGAGGGGCACAGGGGCACACCTCTGAGCCACGGCTGGCTCAGGACTTCTCAACGTGGCAGGGCCCCCTCTCCAGGTGCCCCCTCCCTCCTCTTTGACTTTGAATAAGAGGCTGGTCTGAGGCCCAGTGTGCTGTGGACAAGGGTGCTGCCCTGTGTGGACCGGAGCACCCGCCACGGCGAGTGTGTCCTGCTAGGGGAGCGGAGCCTAGAGAACCAGTTCCTAAGCCTCGATTCGAAGACATGGCGAATGGCCAGTTCCCCACCCTGCTTTCCACAACTTTAAAGCCTCCCCCCAGAACAGAACTGCAATGCTCCCAACGCCCACACCCCCTGCCCTGTTCATCTAGTTACCCTGTGACTCCGGAGACAAGGTTCAAAATAACCTGTGGATGGAGCCCCGGGGTGTTTCTGGAAGGCCTCACACCTAGCTCTCCCTAGCAGAACCCACAGTGGGGCCAAGCTCTCAGCAAAGCCCCACGTTCTTGGGCACAGGCTGCGCCAGGCACCAGACAGGCTCCTCTTGGAGCAGTGGAGCCGAGCGCCCAGGAAGCCGCCGAGCCTGGGAGCAGGGCAGTGGCCAGGCTGGGAACTGCGCCCAACTGCCTGTCACTTTGGGGCCCTGGTGGCACCAAGCAGGAGCCGCCCGCCCGCAGTGACCATTCATTTACAAGTGAACAAGCAGGCCTCTTCCCCACCCCCCAGGCTCCAGAGACGGGCTCCTGGTCTCCCTGTCCAGGAGTCTGCTGACAGCCGCCCCTCCCTTGATTGTCTGAAGCTCTCTGAGATGAAAATAGCCTTTCTTTTCCGGCCACCCTTTGATTTCGCCTCCTCTCCGAGCAGACGCGACTTCCTGTGTTTGGACAAGGCGGAGACGGGCTATTTTGGCCTGGTAGTTTCCCTGCGGCAGACGGGCCCTTTATCTCCCCAGACGGCTCTGGTGCCTGCTCCCAGCATCCTTTGATGGCTGCCCAGCGGGGGAGCCGCTGCAGCCAAGCTGGGGCCTTTCTGAGCGCTGACAGCCTGTTTCAGCCATTCCTGCCCCAGATGGAGGGGGGTTGTGGGGAAGCCCACACGTCCCTGGGTGAAGGGATGGGGTGGGATCACTTCGCAAGGCAGGGATGATCTTTTAAAATGTGACTTAAGGGTCTAAAAGCTTGTGCCACGACCCTGGCCTGGGAGGCGCGGACCATGAGCTGGCAGCCCGGGTGAGGGATGAAGAAAGTGAGGCCCAGAGGGGCACTGAGATGCTCCTGCCTCCCGCGGGCCACACGGCCTGCTCTTCCCACCCATAAACCGGACGGCATGGCGGGGGCCCACCCGCCCTGCTCAGGTCGCGGTCCTGGGGCCTCCTGCTCCCACCTGGACCCAGGGCTCTGCTCACTAACACCTACATGGGGAGGCCTCACCGTGTGTTGCTGGGTACTGGGAGGGGAGGCAAGAACTCGCTGAGTGGGAATAAGAGCCCTGCTTCGAGTGGTTGCCAGGGTCCCACGGCACATGCTGACTGGTCCTGACCCTCCTGCCCTTTGTCCCTACACCCCTCCAGACTCAGATCCTGCTCCCCAGAGCAAAGCCTGTCACTCCCTGCCAGCCACCAGATCCAGCCAACCGGCCAAGCCCTGGCCTAGGAGGGTGTTGGCGGGGGGCGGGCAGCCCTGTGCCAGCTGCTATTGCAGGAGGGACAGAGAGTGCTCAGGGGCCCTAAGAAGAATCCCAGCAGAGCCCATCAGAAAGGCCCCTGGATGAGCCCACACATAAGGCCTGCAACAGCCCCGCGGACATGGGCTCCTCAGGGAGGCCCACTTTGCAGGGAGGTCCACTTTTCAGGGAGTGAGAGGGTCACCCCAAATCACATTTCCAAATCTCCCATCAGACCCAGCCCTCAGCCTTTCTCAGCATCCCTGACCCCAGCTGGGGTCCATCATGAGGGTTTGGGCTGGGTCCTCAGGAAACAAAACAAACCCAAGCCAGCAGGACCCCAGCTCCAGCCCCCCACCGGCAGCAGCTTCAGCTGCCCCCGAGAGCTTCTGGGGAAAGCTGGGACAGGTGGAGGAGCAGCCACCCTCAGCCCAGGTGGCTCGTCCTGAGGGGCAGCCCCCCAGCAGGACGCGGCAGCCTGGGGGCCCCTGCTGCTCCGACCTGGTCCTAACCTGGGGCTCTCTCGACCTCAGGCGTCTCCTGGCACAGCCATGATGCCCGGCATCCCAGCTGCGAGTGCCCAGGTGTTTCAGTTTGGCTTTGGTGCGGGGGCCAAGCAGGGGGGACTCAGCCCATCCCGCTGCAGCTCTGCTTATTCCTGATCCCTGATTCCAGGATCTAGCCCCCAGCTCAGAAACCCCCCAGGACCCTCAGAAACCCACAGGACCTGCACTCCTCTGCAGCCTATGGTGAAGGCGGCTGCCCAGCTGCCCTGCGTTCACTGACCTGGAGTCCCTGCCCACCCTCTGAGAGCCCCACTGGCCATCCCAAGGGTGGCTGGGATGGTCACGTTGTTCTGCATATGCAGAATGCTGAGCCCCAATCCTGCCCACGAGGAGGGCTCAGAACAGTGGCTCCTGCCCCGTGTCTGCACCACGCCATGGCCATCATCTGGAGGACACACAACAGCCCAGGTCCGTCTAGTCCTGGGCCTCTGACCACCCCTGCCCAGCCCAGGCCTGAAGGGAGGCACTTCTTACCTGGCTTTGTGAGTTCTGTTCCCAGCTGAGGCAGGCAGGCTGGTGCTGGCGTTGGGGAACGGGGCCTCAGAGGAGGAGTTGGTGACTCTGTCGCTGCTCAGCTCCAGGTAGGACCCGTTGAGCAGGTAGGCACCCACTCCCTCGCCGTCCTCATAGTCCACATAGAGGCTCTCGGCCGGGGAGCTCCTCGGGGTGCCCTGAGCGAAGATGCTGTTCATGGTCTCATTCAGGGCAAGCTCCTTTGAGTCCGTGCCCATGCCCAGGAGCTGGTCAGAGATGGCATTGGCTGAGAGGAACTCCTGGGAGGTGAAGTGGGCATTGGCCTCCTGGTCGCTCTTGTCCCCAGCGAGGGCCATCCCAGTGGCGTTGCGGTCTACAGAGGGAAAG